CCCTAATAAAATGTTAAAAAAAATAAAATTAAATTTAAAAAAAAAGGGCGGGGGGGGGGGTAAATAAATAAAAAGAATGGCCCGTCAAACTCCCAAGGAGCCGACTCCAAGACTGAGCCCTGGGCAGCTCACTGAAAGGGAGGCAGCTGGGACCCACCAACGGCTCCACGGGAGAAAAGTCGGGGACAGCGGTGCCTGTAGACACTAGTCTTGGGAGCCCTGTGGGGCAATTCTACTCTCCTACAGGCCAGCCAGGAGCTGAATCAACCCCACAAACAGTCCAAACTCCTCAGTACACGGAAGAGGAGAGCAAGGGGACAAGGCGGAACAGGACCGGTGGCTGGCTTCCCCACTCCCGAGGTAAGAACTCATGTCCCTCGATTCAGACCTCAGGTTCCTTCTCCTCCAGTAGCTCTCACTGAAGCCCTGCAGGTGCCACCCCATCAGGTGGAGGTAGAGACGCCTAATCAACTCTGAGCTCAGTGCCTCTACTCTCACCCCAAGGCCAAGCTTAGGTCTCTGCTCGATGCCTCCCAGTGAGAGCTTGTTGGAACTCGGGCTCCACGGAGGGCTGGCAGAAAACCCCTGCCCTCCCCTGCCCGCATTTCTTCTGACTCCTTCCTACACCCCACGTTTCCAAGGGGAAGGGAAGTGCACACCCCACAGTTTCGGTTTCTTGCTCATTCTCTCCTGGCCAGCAGTCAGTGACCCCGGAGACCAGTGCACAACTGCCCAGAGGGCTTCCGAGGCTACGACCTCGAACCCCCATCCCTTTCTCCTGGGGAGCGGTGTAGTGGGCTTGAACCACGCACCTGTTGGCTAGTGGCCGTGCGCTTCACTGTTCTAGGGCTCCTCCTGGCCCAGTGCACCACGAGTCCTCACTGTCTACGTTTTCCAAATAGCAAGAACAAAGGGCTCAGGGGCCCACCAGGGACCCTGTGAGAACCTGCCCAGTGGAACGGAGCAGTCAATGGTGCTCCCTCATGTCTGTGGACTTGGGGGGGGCCCTCGGGGGTTCATACAGACGGACTCCTTACGTGAACAAGCTCTCGATTAAGCGGAGGTTGGTGACAGCTTCTATGATCAGATTCCTGCGCTTCAGCAGGCGGTAGGTTTCGTGGGGCTTGTCTTGGCTTTGCTTCCCGGACTTCTGCGAACTGCTGCTCTCCTGGAACAGAAACCGCAGGCCTAAGGACGCGCCGGCTGTGTCAGCAAGGAGCTAACAGACTGTCCTTTCACACCTGGACCCACCAGGGTCCCCCTGGCACTCACTCACCCACCAGTGCTGCTTCCAGTCTAGCCATGGGTCCCTTCTTTCTTTCACGGCAAACCATGCTGGCACTTTGGGCTCATCGCCCTTTGTGGTGGGAGGCTATCCCATGCCCTGCAGACTGTTGACCAGCATCCCTGACCTCCACTCCCCACTACCTGTGACAAGCAAGCGTATCTCCAGGCACTGTGGATGGCAGCAGGTTGGCCCAGCCCAAGCCCCACTGGTCTAATGCAGTGATGCACATGTTCTCTCCAGGAAATCTTACTGAAGAGTGAGCTGGCGGATCATGGCATCCTGCCACGGCCACAGTGCAGCCTGCATGCTCACCGCTCACTTCCTGTCCAGCGCACAGTCCGTAGACTCCCTGCAGTGGGAAGCCCATTGTGCCCGGCCCGCAGTGTGCATGGGAGTAGCCCCGGCCCGTGCCAAGGCAGCAGGGTTGTGATTCTCGAGCCTAGAGATATCCACTCCGCTGCCAGCACTGACCTTTGGGTTTTCCAGCCTGACTTCCTCAATCACAGCTTCCTCACTGTCCTCCTCCAAGTGGTGGGCGCCATAGGGCACATTGCCGTCCGAGAAGCCACTGGTGTCCAGCAGACTGTCCCCGGCACCTGAACTCCAGCAGCCTTTCTCCTCAGCCGCTCCGGAGGAGCCAGATGGCGGCTTCTTCAGATTTGGGGCCTTCCAGCCACCTGTATGGAGGTGGGAGGAGGTGTGAACTCCAGCCACATCGGGAGGGGACCTTCATGCTCAGCCCCGACCAGACGCCTGGAGAGCAGACCATCAGATGGCTCCATCAGAGCCACAGTAAAGACCAGAACAGGGGACCAGGTGAGGGTAACAGGCCAGCATCTTAGCTGGAGAGGGAAGCCACAAGCTTGTCACCAGCACCACCCTCTGTGCCTGACCCCAAACAAAACAGGGCTCTGGAGGATGGACTGAGGGGCTCTTAGTGGACACGGTCATCTCTTCAAAGTTAGGATTCTCTGATGTATGTGCCACCCACCCTCGAGTCCCCCCACCCCCAAGAAGACACTCAGAGCCTG